TGCATTAGAAATAACACTCTTAGCTATCTTAATCATTGACTTTTGTGAATTTTGAGTGGTCCATTTAAAGTTAAAGAAATTTCCACATCAAAATACAAAACATAAACTACCTACAGTATAGAACACAAATGTGCAGACAGGCCTAGCTCTATACTGGTGGCAAGGACAGTTCACTTTCTGTTCCAGCAGAATATTGGTTAAGGCTTGGTTATTTCTTATGGAAAATGTTATATTACATTATTTCTAAATAGAAAAGTACTTGTTTATAGAGTATGAGTTACAAACAAACAGTGTTCTTATGTAAAAAGACAAAACAGAGATGTTATTTATTCTATAAATTCTGGTGTATTTTTTTTTAAAACTTTCTTTATAATTTAATCAGTCTGTAATGAGAGTTTCATAAACATTGAATACATAAAGGCTGCAATAGGTTAACAAGGCAAATCTGTGTTTGTTTCAGATAATATTTGAAGGAATTAGAGGGAAGGGTTATAGAGGAGACATTGCTATTGATGTACACAATTTCCAGATAACTCTCAACCAAGTCAATGTAAGCTTACAATTATCACCCTTTCCTTCAATAACTGCACATGACCTTTTTTCTATAGTTATTTTGTTAATAAATTAATAATAAAGATTGATCGCTGAACCAAATTTAGATTTTTTTTTCCTTAAGTTAAAGGCAATTGCCAATTTTTGTGTCTAGTCTAATGGCTGTGTTATAGATAAATTTTGCAGGGAAAATATATACATTTTAGACAAGTCTTGAAGAAAAATACATTTGTGTCTGAAGTTAAATGGTGTTAATTTTAATTTTATTTTTCTTGTAGCATCACTTGGAACAGTCACATGTAACTTTGACTCAGATTACTGCCAATGGATTCAAAGCACCACTGATCAGTTTAACTGGTCACGCATCAATGGCTCTACCTCCAGCCAAGGTACCGGTCCTCTAGGAGACCATACTAGTGCTGGTCAATCAGGGTATGGGACAGGATCATACATTTATATAGAAGCGTCTGGGCGACACACACCTGGTGACAAAGCTGATTTGATGACTCAGATCATACCTAGCACTTCTCCACAGGTAAAAAATGCATATTTACATTGTATATATATTTTTAGCTTGACTATTCGATAAGAATAAGTAGAGCTATTGTAGTCACCCGAGCGTCCGCGTCGGCGTAACCACTTATGTTAAAGTTTTTGTAATAGTTCAAATATTTTCAAAGTCCATTGACATATGGCTTTGAAACTTTGCACACTTGTTCACCATCATGACACCAACCTGTAGACAGGAGGAGGTAACTCTATCAAGCATTTTGACAGAATTATGCCCCTTTTTCGACTTAGAATTTATGTTAAAGTTTTTGTAATAGTTCAAATATTTTCAAAGTCCATTGAAATATGGCTTTGAAACTTGGCACACTTGTTCACCATCATGACACCAACCTGTAGACAGGAGGAGGTAACTCTATCAAGCATTTTGACAGAATTATGCCCTTTTTTCGACTTAGAATTTACGTTAAAGTTTTTGTAATAGTTCAAATATTTTCAAAGTCCATTGACATATGGCTTTGAAACTTTGCACACTTGTTCACCATCATGACACCAACCTGTAGACAGGAGGAGGTAACTCTATCAAGCATTTTGACAGAATTATGCCCTTTTTTCAACTTAGAATTTACGTTCAAGTTTTTGTAATAGTTCAAATATTTTACAGGAGTAGGTAACTGTATCAAGCATTATTTTTTACTTTCAAGCATTAGAATAGTCCAGCGTTGCTGTCCTACCGACAGCTCTTGTTTTATGCTTGTTTACCTCTTCAATATATCCTGAAGGTTATTTTACATATAAAATCAAATGGATGAATAATGTTAAAAGATTTTTAGGCAAATATAAATGAATAGAAAACGGAAACATTTTGGGGCTTACCAAAATATTGTTTTACTTTTGTCATGAAGTGATTTTAAAAAAATGTAAAATGAACATAAACATAAGAGTATATGTCATTGGTTAGTGTGGGGATAAAATGTATGGATCTTTTACATAAAGATGTTGATCCTGTTAAAAGCAGAATAAAAAGTTTTCATGTTTATTTATTGAAACTTTTTTCTTACTTTAAATTCAGGGCAGATGCTTTTCCTTCTGGTATCATATGTATGGTGGATCTATAGGGAAATTAAACATCTACAGTATATCAGGGGGACAGCAGACATTACTCTGGACGAAATCTGGTACTCAAGGAAACAAATGGCAACAAGCAAGTCTTAACTACGTCAGTAAAACTGATTTTAAGATGATGATAGAAGGAACAACAACAGGTGGTTACCGTGGTGATATAGCTGTAGATGATGTATATCTAGAGTCAGTACCCTGTTCACAGTCAATTGTTATCACAAAGACGAGTAAGTTTACATTAAAACAAATAACAATCATAAAAGTGTTAAATACCATGTTAAAAAAAATCCCCACAACTGTAAAACACAGTTTTCATCCCATTTGATAGTTTAAATACCTTGCTCTGAGACATCCTGAACAGATTTATTTCCATATTATTTTTAGTCAGCAACTGTCATAAGAAATTGCCTTTTTGTGTTTAATGCAGCTGGTATTACAAATTGTAGATATTTGATATTTGTTTACATATACCACATACGTGCACTTACATGATTTCTCTGTAACTCTTCAAGTAAAATTTGGGATGAAACTTCAGACAAATGTTTACCACATCAAGATGACGTGCAGAACGCATGTTCCGCATGGCTGGCTCCAAGGTCAAGGTCACAGTGACATTAACATTGAAAATCCTGTTTACATGATTTTAACTTCGGGCATCAAACGAAATTGTGTCCGCTCTGTAACTCTTCAACCCTTTGAAGAATTTTGATGAAACTTCAGACAAATGTTTACCACATCAAGATGACGTGCAGAACGCATGTTCCGCATGGCTGGCTCCAAGGTCAAGGGCACAGTGACATTAACATTGAAAATCCTGTCCGCTCTGTAACTCTTCAACCCTTTGAAGAATTTTGATGAAACTTCAGACAAATGTTTACCACATCAAGATGACGTGCAGAACGCATGTTCCGCATGGCTGGCTCCAAGGTCAAGGTCACAGTGACATTAACATTGAAAATCCTGTTTACATGATTTTAACTTCGGGCGTCAAACGAAATTGTGTCCGCTCTGTAACTCTTCAACCCTTTGAAGAATTTTGATGAAACTTCAGACAAATGTTTACCACATCAAGATGACGTGCAGAACGCATGTTCCGCATGGCTGGCTCCAAGGTCAAGGTCACAGTGACATTAACATTGAAAATCCTGTCCGCTCTGTAACTCTTCAACCCTTTGAAGAATTTTGATGAAACTTCAGACAAATGTTTACCACATCAAGATGACGTGCAGAACGCATGTTCCGCATGGCTGGCTCCAAGGTCAAGGTCACAGTGACATTAACATTGAAAATCCTGTTTTACATGATTTTAACTTCGGGCGTCAAACGAAATTGTGTCCGCTCTGTAACTCTTCAACCCTTTGAAGAATTTTGATGAAACTTCAGACAAATGTTTACCACATCAAGATGACGTGCAGAACGCATGTTCCGCATGGCTGGCTCCAAGGTCAAGGTCACAGTGACATTAACATTGAAAATCCTGTCCGCTCTGTAACTCTTCAACCCTTTGAAGAATTTTGATGAAACTTCAGACAAATGTTTACCACATCAAGATGACGTGCAGAACGCATGTTCCGCATGGCTGGCTCCAAGGTCAAGGTCACAGTGACATTAACATTGAAAATCCTGTTTACATGATTTTAACTTGATTTGGCAGTCATATCATCTTTGGAGGTAATTTAAAAAAGATATGATATATTATTTCATGTCTACTTTGTAACTTGTTTTTCATTATACAGAATTATCAATATAATTATAGTGAACAAATTCTTCTGTGCTGAACTCGTCCTACATTTCTCAACGGATTTTGTTCAAACTTTCACAGAAGCTTTGTCATCTAGCACCCTGGCACATATTGTCGGGGTTTTGTGATTGGATAGTTTTTGACCTAATTATGGCCCTTTGTTTTTTTCCTTATACATAATATTATAGTGAACACTTCTTCAGTGGCAATTCCTCCTACATTATTCATGTTTTACATTGCACATAGTTACATTGTTTGTTGCTTGTATTTGTATTTCAAATACAACATATTTATCTACAATGGTGATAATTGAAAACCTGGTTTCATGGCATTGCCATGTTTCTTGTTTTTATTTATTATTCTTTTCATTCCTTTTGGTTGCCATGATGGCAACCAGATTTCTGTATGGAATCAAATTATTTGAACAACTTTGGAAGCCCTTCACTCAAGTTGAAGGATTTTTAGCCGAGTTACTGCTCTAAAATAAAAAATGTGTTTTGCCCTATTAATGATTTTTAGGTCTCCTGCTTTACCATAGCTACAACATGCAATTTGCTGTCATGAGGTGACACATTTCATTACTGATGGACCTTGTATTTGAAAAGGGAGTGAAGTGCAATTCAGGAACAGCAGCCCTCAGTTTTAAATGGTCTTAGAGGGCAAGAAATGTGTCTGAATCTTAGTATTAGAAACACTTAATGCATATTTAAATTATTTGACACTAGAAATAATACTTAAAATTTCAAATTTTTGCGCTCCCAATATCTACTTATTATCTTCAATAAGATTAAACAATTGAAGAGATCAATATGTAAAAGAGTGGCGGCGTGGCCGAGTGGTTAACGCGTCGGACTAGTAATCGAGGGATCGCTAGCTGCGTGGGTTCAAAACCCAGACAGGGCTAAGCCGTTGTTTCTTTGAGCAAGAAACTTAACACTCATTGCTCAGTACTGGTTGGTTCCAGGAACGGATTCGAGAGTGTGTCTATAAGCTTATAGCTTCCTACACAATCGAACTAAAATAACT